GCATAAGCCGTCGTACTCTCACACGTCCCCCCCTCAAAGCTGGGTGGCATGAGATACACCCTGCTTGACAAGATAATCCTTGAGAGCACGGCGTGCGTTGCCCATATCAGCTTCTTGCGGAGATTCACTCTACAACGGCAGTGAGCTAGACTACAGGGTTGGCACGAACTACTAGAGGTGATCTCGGCTTTGCTTGGTTCCTTAGTGCTTGCATATTCACAGGAGAAATTGGCAAGAGTTTCCACTAGCAAAGTTGGAATTACAGAATTTAATGAAGCAATGACAACAATGACTACATCAGGCACCTAGCAACCCTGCAGCTGGCCTGGTCGACTGCCAGCGCAGCTCGGTCGACCGCCTGCCAGCATTGCATAGAGGAGCCGCGCCAGCACTGCAGAAGGGCGACCTGCCAACAAAGCAGGTCGACGGCGTGCCCCGTAGAACACAGCAGTGCGCGCGCTCGCAGGTGTGCGCAGACGATTGGTCCGACTTGCCTCGTTGGGCATCCGTCGGCTGTTGTCTGCGCCTGACAAGCCACATCGACTTCGGGATACCAGCCCGAAGTCGCCTGCGCCATCGCGATCTCGACGGCATTCGCGTGCCTTCGCAGAACTCGTCGAGCAGGTTACCCAGTCGACCTGGTCGACCCCTGGTGCTCTGGTCGACTCCCAGGTGCCTCCCGTCGACCACTGGGTCTCTCTGGTCGACCACTGGATGCTCCTGGTCGACCACACCTCCCGTCAAGCTACCCCTTGGTCGACGGACCCCCTTCCGTCGACCAGAACTGCTCCGTCGACATCCCGGTCGAACTGCAGTTCGACGGGATGCTCCGTAGACCTCCCCGTCGAACTGTAGGTCGACGGACTGCTTCGTCGACCTCCCGGACGGCTCACCCATCGCCCAGGCCAGTCAGTTGCAGCTGTCGAGCATCCTGGTCGACAGCAACACCACAGCGGTCTGCTGCCGCTCGACGTAACCTCTCGAGCAGCTATCCCACTGTGAACAGTCGGCTGCTACTCCCGTGCATCCGACCAAGTCGTCGGCGTTGCCCAAGCGAGGGCGGGGCCAACACTCCATTCCTGCTAACACTTCTGCAACCCAACTGTCCTCAGTGGGGTCGTATCCCTTCCAGCGTATCAGAAACTCGAGGGTCTTGCCGCCGCGGCGTCGATGAGTGAGAACGCGCTCCACTTCGTACTCGGGTTCATCCAGTATGAGAACAGGTGGTGGTGGCGGTAGCTGCCGTCCCTGGAACTGTTGGTTGGGGTCCTTGTAGGGCTTCAGTAGCTGGACATGGAAAGCGTTGTGAAGCTTCCATGCATCTGGTAAGCGCAAGCGGAATGTAACTGGTGTCACCTGTGCCTCAACGAGAAAAGGACCACAGAAGCGAGGCCGGAGTTTGGATGGGAGGTGAGACAGGTTCAAGTTGCGCGTGTCAAGAAGCACCTGATCTCCGACTGCTACTGAGTGATCTCGTCGCTGACGATCGGCATACTGCTTCTGGGAGTTCTGCATCGTGGTGAGACGTCGCTGAGTCTTCTCCCATAGCTGCTGCATGGTGGTGACGAAGTCATCTGCGGCTTGGACGTGTGCCGGTGTGGTTGGCTGCTGTGGTGTGAGTGGTTCCCGTCCGTAACACAGGAAGAAAGGAGTTTTCCCTGTGGCCGCATGTGACGCGTTGTTGTAAGTGAACTCTAGGGTCGGTAACTGTGTGTCCCAGTGGCTGACGTCGTCTTTGCAAGCTGTGCGCAGTAACAGTTCAACCACCTGATTGAGTCGCTCTGTCTGTCCGTCAGTCTGTGGGTGGTATGCTGAGGACATCGCAAGTTTGGTCCCCAATAATCCCATGAGCTCCTTCCAGAACTTACTCGTGAATTTGGGGTCTCTGTCTGAGATTAGTGTAGCGGGGATGCCGTGGATGGTGATGATGCGGTCGAAGAAGAGGCGAGCAGTTGCTTCAGCAGTAGCTGTGGCGTTGGTCGGTATAAAGTGACCCATTTTGGAGAACTTATCGATGACTACGAGGATGGAATCGTGTCCTCGTGAGGTCGAGAGAAGTCCTGTGAACGCGTCTGCTTCTTTGTGTAGCCCGGGCTTGTAGACGATGTCGTAGTGGAAGTGAGTTTCCAGGAAGTCCACCCACCGCACCTGTCGTCGTGAGAGCGTCGGCTGCGACTTCAGGTATTTGAGACTGCAGTGGTCAGTATAGACTGTAGTCTTGGCTCCCTCTAGGTAACACCTCCACGCCTTGAAGGCTATGACTATCGCTAAGGCTTCCTGTCATGGATGGGGTAGTTCAGTTCTGCTCCGTGTAGCTTCTTACTAAGGTAGGCGATGGGCTGCAAACCGCGTCCGTGATCCTGCATCAGTACTGCTCCGACTGCTTGGTCACTAGCGTCTGCTTCCACCACGTAGTCCTTGTCTGGATCCGGTAAGATGAGTACTAGGGCTGTGGTCAGTGCTGTCTGTAGCTGCTCCATGGCTTGCTGATGAGGGGTATCCCATTTGTAGGGCGTATCCTTTTTCAGTAGGTCGGTTAGTGGCGCTGCTATCTTAGCGTACTGCGGCACGAACCTGTTGTAGTAGTTGGCGAAGCCTAGGAACTGCTGCAACTCCTTCACGTTCTCCGGAACTTTCCACTTCTTGACAGCTTCGATCTTCCGCGGGTCCACGTATACGCCCTCCGCACTCACCATGTGCCCGAGAAACTGCACATTCTTTAGGGCGAAGTCGCTCTTCGACAACTTCACGTAGAATTTGTTTTTCCGCAGGATCTCGTACACCTTTTGCAGTGCTCCTTCATGTTCTTGGAGTAGATGAGAATATCGTCCAAGTACACCACCACACACTCGTCCAGCAGGGGCCGTAAGATGTGATTTGTCTCCGCCTGAAACGTTGCTGGTGCGTTGCAGAGTCCGAACGGCATCACCAAGTATTTCTAGGAGCCGTATCTGGTACGGAACGCCGTCTTGTGGACTGAGTTGTCTGCCATCTTGATCTGCCGGTAGCCCAACCGTAGGTCCAGCTTCGAAAAGACTGTTGCACCACGCAGTTGATCCAGAAGGTCGTCGATGCGCGGTATGGGGTATTTGTTTTTTACTGTCTGTTTGTTCAGTGCGCGGTAGTCGATGCACATCCGTAAACTGCCGTCTGGTTTTGGAGTGAAGAGAACCGGTGCACCGTAGGGTGAGGTGGATGGGCGGATCAGTTGTCTGTCCAGTAGATACTCTATCTGTTTCTTCATGTCTGTTAGCTCGGTCGGACTCAGTCGGTATGGTGCGCGTGAGACGGGTTTCGCACCTGGTTCCTCCACGATCTCGTGCTCGTGGGTGCGTGCAGGGGGTACGCCTGTAGGTAGGCCGTCGGGCATTATATCCTTGTACTGCTCTAACACCTCCTTCACTGCTGCAGTTAGCTCTGTGTTGGGCTTCTCCTCCTTTGCTGCTGCCATAACCAGTGCCAAGTAACCCGTGTTACTCTCGTTCACCGTCCATTCGAACCGTGCCAGTGTCGTTTCATGAACGCTCCCTGTATCCGTCCAGCCTCGCAACTCCACTCGTTTCCCGCTGTTGTAGATGCACGCCTTCGTGTTGACCCAATCGATCTTGGGGTGGAACCGCTTCAAGAAATCTCGCCCCAAGATGAAATCTGATCGCTTGATGTTCGTGATCGGCAATGTCGGCTTCCACCTCAGCGCCCCTATGTGCAGCTGTAGTGATGCTTCGCCGTGGATGGGAAGTTTCGTACCATCCACCATCGTTGCCGTGCACTTGGTCTCCTCCGAAGGTTCTCCAATTTTCTCCAACGTCTCGCGGTCGCACACCGAGTGAGACGCACCGCTGTCCACCAGTGCCTGGAGGCGTCGCCCGTGGCAGATCACCTCGAGTAGTAGTGGTTGTTGCTGCTCCGAGTAACCATAGATGTCTCGCTTATAGGATCGTAGGGTACGTCGAATAGATCATCCTTCGGTCATGCGCTCAAAGCTGCTGACTCCATATCAGTTTCCAACTGAGTAGGGTTGGAAGGATTTATCCGAGGCCGATTCAGCTTCGTCCGGACCTGGAACCTTCCCCTAAGCCTTTGCAGATGTGTAGGCTTCTCCTGTGGGCAATGGGGAGCCTTAACACTATGCTGCGGGGAGAGAATATGAACTCCTTGGAACGCACGACCCTTTTCAACGCTCCGGAGTGGCTTGCCCAACTTCTCAGGTACCTGAATAATGTCTGAAGGCTTTTTCTTGGCCTTGAAATCTCCCCTGAATTTTTTAAAGGCTTGAAAACCTCGAAAGAAAATATTCTTACTCTCGGGGGTGTTCGGCTGGAGTTTCCCGGTCGGTGCAGAGTCTTGTTTCGCGGAGCCTCCATTTGTCTTGGCGATTTCCCCTGTTGCCGGCCAGTTGTGGCGTTTTATATTCGCGCCATCGTGTCCTCCTTTTTTCGCCATCGTGGATGTCGCAGTGTTGTTGCCCTGCAACTCCGCTAGTACCTTCTTCAACTTCCAACACGCCAAGAGTCGATCTCCTGCTGCGCCGCAAAATTCGCACTTCTCATATTTTGTGGGCCGCTGCGTTCGCTGCTGCTGTGGCGGCTGCCGACTGGTTCGCGAGGAGCTCCTCTATTCGCTGGAGTGCCGCTCGCGTCTGGTCCAGGCCGTTGTGTAACTCCGTAATTTTTTGTACGGAATTAGCACCATTTTCCTCCATTTGGTGATTTACACGACGATTTGCGACGGAAATAATTGAATTCTAGGCGCTGGTCATCTTACTGAGAACCGAATCGACTGTAGAATTGACGAGGACTGATTCTGTAGGCCGCGTAGTTCTCCCTTAGTCGAAATTCGCGTCTGATCTCGACCGTTGAGAAGAAATTCGATCCGACGTTCTAAATTCCAACCCTTTTGGTCAAAATTATCAGGGCCGTTGAGATTCGAATCGATCCGACGGTCGAAATTCCAACTTTTTTGCCATCGGACCTGAGGAGTGTTCGAAAACCGGTTCGAGGGGGACGTTAGAAAATAGCGCGGAACTGGTTTACGTACCCGAAATCGGCGCTTTCTGTCGTCGCCCCCGCGGTTTTAAAAGCTATTTAAAAGCGGTATTAAAACTTCGCTTCTAGACAGGCTCTGATTACCAAGTGTGAGGATCTAGGATCTAGCTCAGAAAAGAGAGTTTGAATTGAATGATCACCTGGGTACAGCACGAGGCTATATAGTCTCGACACAATGCCAGTTACCCAGGTGTTACGCGAATGTTCTGAGGGTCGCGAAGCGTGCCGAACAGAACCTTTCCTAACTCAGTAGAAAGCAATTCGGTGGAAACGGAATAGGCTTGAGCTCGGTACACGTAACCTGGTTCGGTGCTATAATTATAATGAAATATAGGAATGCACCTAACCTAGGAAATCAAGCATATCTATGCATGATAAATAATACCCAAGCTAGATATAGCGTGATAAAGTATAGGCAAGCTAGCAAAGCCAGCATAAGCCGTCGTACTCTCACAGCCACCCCCCTCTATCATGATCACCTTCCTCTATCATGATCACCTCACCCACTCTATCATTTTTACACCCCTCCTTCTGGTCGAGCAGGGTGGTTAACAAGGGTGATTGGCAATGCCCCACCATACTCACCTCCCCCCTCCCTCCCTTTCTCTTTCTCTCTCTCTCTCTCGCTCTCTCTCTCCCTCTCTCTCTCCCTCTCTCCCTCTCTCTCTCTCTCTCTCTCCCTCTCTCTCTCTCTCTCTCCCTCTCTCTCTCTCTCTCACGCACACGCACACATACACACACACACATGCACACACATGCACACACACGCACGCGCGCACACACACACACACACATACACACAGACACACACACACACGCACACACATCACTCTCTCCCCTCCCTTTCGGCGTGCAGGAAAATCATGCAGGTGGAGTCGGGCAGCATCCCGGCCTCCTTTGGCAACTTGGCCAGCCTACAATCACTGTGAGCACCGCTTTCTCATCACTCCCCGTGAGCACCGCCTTCTCGATATAGTCACTCTCGGGGAGCACCGCGCTCTCAATACAGGCACTGTGCACTCTGGAAAGAGCCTAGCGTCCATATAATAGGTAGGGTTTGCGAGCTTCTTTTGTCCAAGTGCGTTCGCTTGAAGGAGTTATTGGCATGGCCTCACGATATCCCTTTCTAGTACATCTCCCCCACAACCACACTCTCCATCCGTTGTACATCTCCCGCCCTTGTGCGCGTGTAGGAGCAACAGCGCGAGTGATTGGCAATGACTCCATGATATCTCAACCCCCCACCCACTCTATCCCTCTCGCATCCATCTCGCTCCCTCGTGTGTGTGTAGGATCATCAGCGTGAGTGAGAATGACACCACAGGAGCTGCCCTCACAGGGCCCATCCCTGAATCGTTCTCCAACCTCAAGAGCCTCACCTTGCTGTAAGCACACTCTCACCTCGCCGTAAGCACACCCTCGCCTTGCTGTATGCACACTCACTGTAATAAGGCCTTTGTTTCCTTCTTTTTCCCCTTTTATTTGCACAATCCAATCTTTCTATAAGCACACCCTGTGTATATTGATGTAGAGCTTCTCTAAGGTTGAATTGCACCCATGCTCTCCCACTTGCATCCCATGCCCCACTCACATGCATCTCCCTCCCACCGCCCTCCCACGCCTCTCCCTCCCTCACATCACAGTGATCTCACCAACAACAACATTGGGCCGTTAACTGACAGCATTGGCACCATTCCCAATCTGAAATACTTGTGAGTCACAAGAGGAGGTGCGGGGAGTGTGGAGGGTGGAGTGTGAGAGGAGGAAGAGGCGTGTGAGGGGAGGGTGGGGTGTGATGGGGGGAGAAGGCATTCGAGGAGATGTTGGGGTGTGAATAGGTGAAGAGGCATGTGTAAAGATGTTGGAGTGTGAGTGGGGGGGGAGCATTCCCTAAAGATTGGTGGAGGACCTATGGCAAAAATTTTGTCACCTGTAACATGCCGAGTGCTGTAAGGAAATGTGCATCCCATTTATTAAGTCACAAGCAAAAAAAAAAAAAAAAAAGTATCAGATCCTCATTGCAACAGCATTTGTGAACGCTCTTTGCTCTGTCCCCTGCAGAAAGCTCAAGGGCAACAACTTCACAGGCAACACCATTCCCAGCACCATCACCGCCCTTACAAACCTCATTGAGCTGTAAGCCTTCACGACGAACCAGCACTTCACCTCACCGTGCCTCACCGCACCTCACCTCACTTCACCTCACCTCACCTCACCGTGCCTCACTTCACCGCACATCACCTCATCTCAACCCATACAGTGAATATAGTCATCCAGATATTATATGTTCTCCATACACTAGGAGAAGAAGTAAGTCATGGAACTCAGCACGGATTGAAACACAATCCCATGTCTGCTGAGGTTCTGCCCTGCCACAATCCCATGTCTGCTGAAGTTCTGCCCCACCCTGCCTTGCCCTGCTGAGGATAACTTTCTACTACAGCCTCTTCCCAACTCTTCCCATCCTCTCCATCGTACCATGCCCATTCTCTCCCCCCCACCGTGCACATTTCCCCCCACCCTCTCCCTTTCTTGCCGGTCTGCCAATCCTCTGCCCCTACCTTTCCCCCACCAGGAACCTCGACTCTACAGGGGTGGGTGGCTCCATTCCATCCGGCCTTGGTTCTCTAACTGGTCTTCAGACCTTGTGAGTGCTGCTGCCTGCTGTGAGTGCTGCTGTGAGTGTTGCTTTCTTTCCATGCTGCCTGCTATAAGCGTTGCCCTTATCCCCATACTTCTCATTTTTGTCTTACTTCTCTATTTTCTCTTACCCTCATGTTCTCACCTCACCCCACTGCACAAAACTGCCTTACATGGCCTCATCTCCACTGAACATACTCCTCACTATCTTACCCAACCACACATCAATGTCTCACATGCCTCATCTCCTCTCTATCAAACATACTGCTCACTTCAAACATACTGCTCACCTCAAAAGTGCGATGGCTTTGAAGCGCCTCAGAACTTACTTTACCACACATCAGTGCCTTACATGCCCTCATCTCCACTCCACGGGACGTACTGCTCACTTTCAAGTGCGCGCGATGTACTTCTGACTTCGCCCCACCCACACAGGAGGCTCGAGGGCAACGAGCTCACCGGCACGCTTCCAGCCACTCTCGGTGCACCGCCTTTCCTCACCTTGTAAGCTCAACTACCAGAGAAGGGAAGAGCAGCGTGTGAGGAACTGGCTTCTTAGGCACCTCAACGGTCGCCTCTTTACCTCGAGGAGCACCGGCACGCTTCCAGCCACTCCTGCTGGACTGCCTCTCCTCACCTTGTAAGTGCAACTGCCACAGTACAGAGGCGACTCTTGGCACAGAGGCGACTCTTGGCACAGAGGCGACTCTTGGCGGCACCCCTCAAAAGCTAGCCCGTTCTTGCTGCAACACTTCTCCTCGCGTTGTTAATTGGAAAACATTTTGTGAGGAAGTGGTGTCATTGTACATCCCTGCCCTCTCACCTCCCTGCCCTCTCACTTCCCTGCCCTCTCGCCGCCGTTGCCTGCAGCAACTACGATTCTGACGTGGCCTGCCCTCCCAGCGGCACCATCCTTTCACTGACCTGGTCCCCATCACAGCTCCTTGCCCTCTCACCCCTTTCTTCCCACTCACTTTCCTCCCCTCTCACCCCCTTGCTTCCAACTCACTGCCCTCCCCTCGCACCCCCTTTCTTCCCACTCACTTCCCTCCCCTCTCACCCCCTTCTTCCCACTCACTGTCCCCCCATCCCCCCCCCCCTGCCTGCAGCAACTACGATGCTACAGTCACATGCCCTACCAATGGCACCCCGTGTGTGCTGGAGCAGAGCGACAGCAGCCCCTTCTGCACCGCCTGTGCTACCTTCTGCTCCTCCTGCATCAAGGCTGCACCTGGTGGGTACCATTTGTTACTAGGTGACTTTTGAGTCAACCCAACAGCACTCCATTCTGCACTGCCTGTGCTGCCTTCTGCTGCTCCCCCTTCTTCCCTCCTGCTCCTGGTGATTACCATCTGTTGCATCACTTCTGTTCCTCGTGCGCAACATCTGTCATGTCCCTTGTGACGAAACCTGAATACTGTCACTGTTCTGGTTGCACTCCGTACTCTGAGACGGAAACCAAACCGTTCCTGTTGTTTCTGATTCGTACTTTTGTGTGAAGCCCCAGCATCCGAAGCCCCAGCATCCGAAGCCCCAGCATCTGAAGCATCCCCATCCAAGGCATCCCCATCCGAGGCATCCCCATCCAAGGCATCCCCATCCGAGGCATCCCCATCCGAGGCATCCCCATCCGAGGCATCCCCATCCAAGGCATCCCATCCAAGGCATCCCCATCCGAGGCATCCCCATCCAAGGCATCCCCATCCGAGGCATCCCCATCCAAGGCATCCCCATCCGATGCATCCCCATCCAAGCCATCCCCATCCGAGGCATCCCCATCCAAGGCATCCCCATCCGAGGCATCCCCATCCAAGGCATCCCCATCCGAGGCATCCCCATCCAAGGCATCCCCATCCGAGGCATCCCCATCCAAGGCATCCCCATCCGAGGCATCCCCATCCTAGGCATCCCCATCAGGGCCTCCAATCTCTCCTCCCATCCTTGCATTGCCCTCTGACACTTCTCCTTCCCCTCATCCTCCTCCTCTTGTTAAGCCCCCTCCATCCAACCCTGACACCAACACCACCACCAACACCACCACCAACACCACCGCCAACACCACCACAACCAACAACACCACTAACACCACCAACACCAACACCACCACCACCAACAACACCACTAACACCACCAACACCAACACCAACACCACCACAAACACCAACAGCAACGATGCCAACCCCAGCGCCAATGAGTCGTCCTCCAGCTCGGGGTTGTCCACAGGAGCCATTGTGGGCATCGTGGCGGGCGTGCTTTTGCTGGTCGCTGGCGTCGTTGCCACCGTCTTCGTCGAAATTCCTTGCAGGAAGAAAATCGAAGGTGACCAAAGCTTTTCCTCTTCACTGAAGCTTTTCTTTGACACAAAACGCACTTCTGTGCAATATCACAGCATGTCCCACGACACAAACACCATGAAAAAAACACCATCTTCCCTAGAAAGTTTTACGAACCTGAAGAAATATGCACCACAAACGATCCGTCGTACTGAAATGTGCTTCCGAACCATGTCACTTACCCTCTCTAAGCGTACTGAAACGTGTTGTTGTGTCTTAACTCGAATGCTGCGCTATCTGTGCAGTGGTGGAAGTGCCGGATGAATGCCAGCACGCTGCTTCAACCGCAGCCCCTCTGGGCACCTATGCCAAGGGCAATGTCAGTTACCAGCCAGATGCCACTGCAAAGGTCTAAGTATAGCAACTTGACGTCCCACCTGCACATGCTACTCCTTGCCACACCTGCACCTGCTAATAGCATCACAGCCCTTGCGTGCTACACCTTCTTGTGCCGATGCAAGATAAGTGGTACAATCTGCTACCGCGGTGCTTGAATCTTGCCCTTTCTGATACTGTGAAGGAACCGGGTAGCGAGAATCTAGTCACCAATGCCCATTGCAGATGCTGGTCTTCATTTTCATGACTAGGAGCTACTTGGTCTAGTACAGATGCTATTTTCTATGGCAGGGCTGTTCATATCAGAGTATATAGTCCGATTGTCTGAGTTTTCTAACCATAATTTCTACCAAACTGAAATTCCCTGTACCGTATTTTTTAAGATGAAAATCCCACTAGTACAATAGTCTTGGGTTTTTTTTTCTGGGAACCAAATGCTTATTGTGTCCTACCTGATGAGGACCCGCCTTTCGACTCTAACACTTTGAGACCCTGGTCAATGCGTCAGACGCAGAATCTGACGTGTTAGACCACGTCAGGTCGAAGTGATATCAGCTACAACATCTGGTTACATAGTCGGAAATTAGACGGCAAGATCAGGACGTCGACGCCCACTGTGTGTTCATCAAGCAGACATCCGGTTGTCATTGCCACTCCTCCCATATTCCGTCTCTCGTATTATCAACTGCACCTTGAAGTACAGATGCAGGCCAATGCTCGTAGTATGAGTACAAGTGAATCAGACAGCGATCATTTTCTTCCTATTAACCTTTACTGCCGTCCTACGACAATCAAGACTAGAAACGAATCGGTGGAGTCAAATATATCTTCTCTGCAAGACTATTTTCCTCTTACTGGAAGTATCTTGGCTACTGAGTTTTTTGTTCTTTAATTCAGGCCATGAAAGAAGAATGACTACAAATCAAGCGAAGTTTCGATCAGCAAATTACCTGTTTTCCTCCACGGCTCCTGGAATTACCGGGGAAGGTGTCACTCATATATTTCTGGACAACAGAGAAGGATGACATTGAAAATACTAGATTGAGTGGATGGAATAATATGGTGGATCCAATAGCTGAAGCTAATCAAGGTGTGTTTATTTTTCTTGGGTAAAAGAGCTGTGGCATTGTTCAGTCACACACAAATCTATGCAATTTGCTGAAGGCACTTCTTCTTGATTTGTTGGAGCGAGTGGAGCAGCTTCTTCTCAGATCCTAAAATCAACAAAATGTAGGCGTTTCTACCCCGGTTGAAGTGTACGAACTGGTCAACGAAATATTCTAGTGGGCAGGTTGCAACTTTTAAGCGTTTTATTTATGAACCATCTTAGGGTGGCCGAGAGAGTACAGTAAAATATACATAGGCCAGTTACAACGGATGGGGCAATAATACCGTGATACCGTAGGCCCTTGAACGCGAGAGAATGCAATTGTCTGAAAGAGTGTGCAGGTGTACCACACGTTAGACTACACCTGGCCGGCAGCACCAGGCTGGTAACCAGCATAAGCACCCTGGGGCTTGTTGTACTGGTTATCCCCTGCGTATGCTCCTGTAGCTTGAGTCGTGTATTCCACCTCCACCTCTGCAGAGAGGGAAGCACACATGCGGGTACAAGGATAAGTGAGGTGTTAAGGAATGCAAGGGGGGATAACATAGAGGAATAACAGAGGGGGGTTTCATGATCTAGACCCTCAGTTGATGAGTGCAAGCAGCAGAAACTACACAGAGCTAGGAAAAGAAGTGAGGTGTTGCCGCACTGAATGACGATAGAGACCTTGACAAATGAGAGGCGTCTCACAAATGGAGAGGAAAAGCATGTGCTCGAGCCGGTGCCTTTCAGGGGGCTTACCTTTGGACCTCTTGCCACACTGAATGACAATGAAGACAACAGCAATGGTGCCAACAATGAAGAGCAGCACGCCCACCACGATGCCCACGATGGCTCCTGTCGACAACCCCGAGCTGGAGGAGGAAGCATTGGCGCTGGCGTTGGCGTTGTTGTTGTTGGTGTTGGTGATAGTGGTGGTGCTGCTGCTGCCATCGAGGTTGGATGGAGGAGGCTCAACAACAGGAGGAGGTGGGGGAGGAGGAAGGGAAGGAGAAGACTCCGAGGGAGGTGCAGGGATGGGGGAAGAGATTGGAGGCTCGGATGGGGATGCTTGGGATGGATATGCCTCGGATGGTTCAGATGGTTGGGCAATAATTGGTGGGGCATCGGACGCTGGGGCTGGACACAAAAAACAAGAGTATCAGAAACGAAAAGGTTAGCTTTCTCCAAGAAGTGTTATGCGCCAGGTAGGCATGATGCAATTGATGATACCCACCAGGGGCAGGAGGGATGCAGGAGGAGCAGAAGGCGGCACAGGCGGTGCAGAACTCGCTACTCTCTCTCTGCTCCACCACACACGAGGTGTTGCTGGCCGGACAGGCCACGGTAGCATCGTAGTTTCTGCATGCAGGGGCGAAGCGAGAGGGCAAGGGAGAGGGCAGGAGATGGAGGTGAGAGGGGGGTGAGAGGTGGGTGAGATGGGGGTGAGAGGGGGGTGAGAGGTGGGTGAGAGGGGGTTTGAGACGTCTCAAACCACAGGCGGGGCAGAACTCGCTGCGCTCTCTCTGCTCCAGCGAGCACGGGGTGTCACTGGCAGGGCAGGCAACGGTAGAGTCGTAGTTGCTGCATGCAGGGGTGTTGAGAGGGGCCGTTGGAGGGAAGGTGTGGGACCGTTTGAGGGAAGGGGTGGGACCGTTTGAGGGAAGGGGTGGGACCGTTTGAGGGAAGGGGTGGGACCGTTTGAGGGAAGGGGTGGGACCGTTTGAGGGCAGGGGTGGGACCGTTTGAGGGCAGGGGTGGGACCGTTTGATGGCAGGGGTGGGACCGTTTGAGGGCAGGGGTGGGACCGTTTGAGGGCAGGGGTGGGACCGTTTGAGGGCAGGGGTGGGGGCAGGAGGAGGATATTGGCGGTGTATGAAGAGCAGAGGGGGATGAAGCAAGGAAGGGGGGATGAAGCGAGGAAGGGGGTATGAAGGGAGGAAGGTGAGATGAAGGGAGGAAGGTGAGATGAAGGGAGGAAGATGAGATGAAGGGAGGAAGGTGAGATGAAGGGAGGAAGGTGAGATGAAGGGAGGAAGGTGAGATGAAGGGAGGAAGGTGAGATAAAGGAAGGAAGGTGAGATGAAGGGAGGATGGTGAGATGAAGGGAGGAAGGTGAGATGAAGGGAGGAAGGTGAGATGAAGGGAGGAAGGTGAGATGAAGGGAGGAAGGTGAGATGAAGGGAGGAAGGTGAGATGAAGGGAGGATGGTGAGATGAAGGGAGGAAGGTGAGATGAAGGGAGGAAGGTGAGATGAAGGAGGAAGGTGAGATGAAGGGAGGAAGGTGAGATGAAGGGAGGAAGGTGAGATGAAGGGAGGAAGGTGAGATGAAGGGAGGAAGGTGAGATGAAGGGAGGATGGTGAGATGAAGGGAGCAAGGTGAGATGAAGGGAGGATGGTGAGATAAAGGGAGGAAGGTGAGATGAAGGAGGAAGGTGAGATGAAGGGAGGAAGGTGAGATGAAGGGAGGATGGTGAGATGAAGGGAGGAAGGTGAGATGAAGGGAGGAAGGTGAGATGAAGGGAGGAAGGTGAGATGAAGGGAGGAAGGTGAGATGAAGGGAGGAAGGTGAGATGAAGGGAGGAAGGTGAGATGAAGGGAGGAAGGTGAGATGAAGGAGGAAGGTGAGATGAAGGGAGGAAGGTGAGATGAAGGGAGGAAGGTGAGATGAAGGGAGGAAGGTGAGACGAAGGGAGGATGGTGAGATGAAGGGAGGAAGGTGAGACGAAGGGAGGATGGTGAGATAAAGGGAGGAAGGTGAGATGAAGGGAGGAAGGTGAGATGAAGGGAGGAAGGTGAGATGAAGGGAGGATGGTGAGATGAAGGGAGGAAGGTGAGATGAAGGGAGGAAGGTGAGATGAAGGGAGGAAGGTGAGATGAAGGGAGGAAGGTGAGATGAGGTGAGATGAAGGGAGGAAGGTGAGATGAAGGGAGGAAGGTGAGATGAAGGGAGGAAGGTGAGATGAAGGGAGGAAGGTGAGATGAAGGGAGGAAGGTGAGATGAAGGGAGGATGGTGAGATGAAGGGAGGAAGGTGAGATGAAGGGAGGAAGGTGAGATGAAGGGAGGATGGTGAGATAAAGGGAGGAAGGTGAGATGAAGGGAGGAAGGTGAGATGAAGGGAGGATGGTGAGATGAAGGGAGGAAGGTGAGATGAAGGGAGGAAGGTGAGATGAAGGGAGGAAGGTGAGATGAAGGGAGAAAGGTGAGATGAAGGGAGGATGGTGAGATGAAGGGAGGAAGGTGAGATGAAGGGAGGAAGGTGAGATGAAGGGAGGAAGGTGAGATGAAGGGAGGAAGGTGAGATGAAGGGAGGAAGGTGAGATGAAGGGAGGAAGGTGAGACGAAGGGAGGATGGTGAGATAAAGGGAGGAAGGTGAGATGAAGGGAGGAAGGTGAGACGAAGGGAGGATGGTGAGATGAAGGGAGGAAGGTGAGACGAAGGGAGGATGGTGAGATAAAGGGAGGAAGGTGAGATGAAGGGAGGAAGGTGAGATGAAGGGAGGAAGGTGAGATGAAGGGAGGATGGTGAGATGAAGGGAGGAAGGTGAGATGAAGGGAGGAAGGTGAGATGAAGGGAGGAAGGTGAGATGAAGGGAGGAAGGTGAGATGAAGGGAGGAAGGTGAGATGAAGGGAGGAAGGTGAGATGAAGGGAGGAAGGTGAGATGAAGGAAGAAGGTGAGATGAAGGGAGGAAGGTGACATGAAGGGAGGAAGGTGAGACGAAGGGAGGATGGTGAGATAAAGGGAGGAAGGTGAGATGAAGGGAGGAAGGTGAGATGAAGGGAGGAAGGTGAGATGAAGGGAGGATGGTGAGATGAAGGGAGGAAGGTGAGATGAAGGGAGGAAGGTGAGATGAAGGGCGGAAGGTGAGATGAAGGGAGGATGGTGAGATAAAGGGAGGAAGGTGAGATGAAGGGAGGAAGGTGAGATGAAGGGAGGAAGGTGAGATGAAGGGAGGAAGGTGAGATGAAGGGAGGAAGGTGAGATGAAGGGAGGAAGGTGAGATGAAGGGAGGAAGGTGAGATGAAGGGAGGATGGTGAGATGAAGGGAGGAATGTGAGATGAAGGGAGGAAGGTGAGATGAAGGGAGGAAGGTGAGATGAAGGGAGGAGGGTGAGATGAAGGGAGGAAGGTGAGATGAAGGGAGGAAGGTGAGATAAAGGGAGGAAGGTGAGATGAAGGGAGGAAGGTGAGATGAAGGGAGGAAGGTGAGATGAAGGGAGGAAGGTGAGATGAAGGGAGGAAGGTGAGATGAAGGGAGGATGGTGAGATGAAGGGAGGAAGGTGAGATGAAGGGAGGATGGTGAGATAAAGGGAGGAAGGTGAGATGAAGGAGGAAGGTGAGATGAAGGGAGGAAGGTGAGATGAAGGGAGGATGGTGAGATGAAGGGAGGAAGGTGAGATGAAGGGAGGAAGGTGAGATGAAGGGAGGAAGGTGAGATGAAGGGAGGAAGGTGAGATGAAGGGAGGAAGGTGAGATGAAGGGAGGAAGGTGAGATGAAGGGAGGAAGGTGAGATGAAGGAGGAAGGTGAGATGAAGGGAGGAAGGTGAGATGAAGGGAGGAAGGTGAGATGAAGGGAGGAAGGTGAGACGAAGGGAGGATGGTGAGATGAAGGGAGGAAGGTGAGACGAAGGGAGGATGGTGAGATAAAGGGAGGAAGGTGAGATGAAGGGAGGAAGGTGAGATGAAGGGAGGAAGGTGAGATGAAGGGAGGATGGTGAGATGAAGGGAGGAAGGTGAGATGAAGGGAGGAAGGTGAGATGAAGGGAGGAAGGTGAGATGAAGGGAGGAAGGTGAGATGAAGGGAGGAAGGTGAGATGAAGGGAGGAAGGTGAGATGAAGGGAGGAAGGTGAGATGAAGGGAGGAAGGTGAGATGAAGGGAGGAAGGTGAGATGAAGGGAGGAAGGTGAGATGAAGGGAGGATGGTGAGATGAAGGGAGGAAGGTGAGATGAAGGGAGGAAGGTGAGATGAAGGGAGGATGGTGAGATAAAGGGAGGAAGGTGAGATGAAGGGAGGAAGGTGAGATGAAGGGAGGATGGTGAGATGAAGGGAGGAAGGTGAGATGAAGGGAGGAAGGTGAGATGAAGGGAGGAAGGTGAGATGAAGGGAGAAAGGTGAGATGAAGGGAGGATGGTGAGATGAAGGGAGAAAGGTGAGATGAAGGGAGGAAGGTGAGATGAAGGGAGGAAGGTGAGATGAAGGGAGGAAGGTGAGATGAAGGGAGGAAGGTGAGATGAAGGGAGGAAGGTGAGACGAAGGGAGGATGGTGAGATAAAGGGAGGAAGGTGAGATGAAGGGAGGAAGGTGAGACGAAGGGAGGATGGTGAGATGAAGGGAGGAAGGTGAGACGAAGGGAGGATGGTGAGATAAAGGGAGGAAGGTGAGATGAAGGGAGGAAGGTGAGATGAAGGGAGGAAGGTGAGATGAAGGGAGGATGGTGAGATGAAGGGAGGAAGGTGAGATGAAGGGAGGAAGGTGAGATGAAGGGAGGAAGGTGAGATGAAGGGAGGAAGGTGAGATGAAGGGAGGAAGGTGAGATGAAGGGAGGAAGGTGAGATGAAGGGAGGAAGGTGAGATGAAGGAAGAAGGTGAGATGAAGGGAGGAAGGTGACATGAAGGGAGGAAGGTGAGACGAAGGGAGGATGGTGAGATAAAGGGAGGAAGGTGAGATGAAGGGAGGAAGGTGAGATGAAGGGAGGAAGGTGAGATGAAGGGAGGATGGTGAGATGAAGGGAGGAAGGTGAGATGAAGGGAGGAAGGTGAGATGAAGGGCGGAAGGTGAGATGAAGGGAGGATGGTGAGATAAAGGGAGGAAGGTGAGATGAAGGGAGGAAGGTGAGATGAAGGGAGGAAGGTGAGATGAAGGGAGGAAGGTGAGATGAAGGGAGGAAGGTGAGATGAAGGGAGGAAGGTGAGATGAAGGGAGGAATGGTGAGATGAAGGGAGGATGGTGAGATGAAGGGAGGAATGTGAGATGAAGGGAGGAAGGTGAGATGAAGGGAGGAAGGTGAGATGAAGGGAGGAGGGTGAGATGAAGGGAGGAAGGTGAGATGAAGGGAGGAAGGTGAGATAAAGGGAGGAAGGTGAGATGAAGGGAGGAAGGTGAGATGAAGGGAGGAAGGTGAGATGAAGGGAGGAAGGTGAGATGAAGGGAGGAAGGTGAGATGAAGGGAGGATGGTGAGATGAAGGGAGGAAGGTGAGATGAAGGGAGGATGGTGAGATAAAGGGAGGAAGGTGAGATGAAGGAGGAAGGTGAGATGAAGGGAGGAAGGTGAGATGAAGGGAGGATGGTGAGATGAAGGGAGGAAGGTGAGATGAAGGGAGGAAGGTGAGATGAAGGGAGGAAGGTGAGATGAAGGGAGGAAGGTGAGATGAAGGGAGGAAGGTGAGATGAAGGGAGGAAGGTGAGATGAAGGAGGAAGGTGAGATGAAGGGAGGAAGGTGAGATGAAGGGAGGAAGGTGAGATGAAGGGAGGAAGGTGAGACGAAGGGAGGATGGTGAGATGAAGGGAGGAAGGTGAGACGAAGGGAGGATGGTGAGATAAAGGGAGGAAGGTGAGATGAAGGGAGGAAGGTGAGATGAAGGGAGGAAGGTGAGATGAAGGGAGGATGGTGAGATGAAGGGAGGAAGGTGAGATGAAGGGAGGAAGGTGAGATGAAGGGAGGAAGGTGAGATGAAGGGAGGAAGGTGAGATGAAGGGAGGAAGGTGAGATGAAGGGAGGAAGGTGAGATGAAGGGAGGAAGGTGAGATGAAGGGAGGAAGGTGAGATGAAGGGAGGAAGGTGAGATGAAGGGAGGAAGGTGAGATGAAGGGAGGATGGTGAGATGAAGGGAGGAAGGTGAGATGAAGGGAGGAAGGTGAGATGAAGGGAGGATGGTGAGATAAAGGGAGGAAGGTGAGATGAAGGGAGGAAGGTGAGATGAAGGGAGGATGGTGAGATGAAGGGAGGAAGGTGAGATGAAGGGAGGAAGGTGAGATGAAGGGAGGAAGGTGAGATGAAGGGAGAAAGGTGAGATGAAGGGAGGATGGTGAGATGAAGGGAGGAAGGTGAGATGAAGGGAGGAAGGTGAGATGAAGGGAGGAAGGTGAGATGAAGGGAGGAAGGTGAGATGAAGGGAGGAAGGTGAGATGAAGGGAGGAAGGTGAGACGAAGGGAGGATGGTGAGATAAAGGGAGGAAGGTGAGATGAAGGGAGGAAGGTGAGACGAAGGGAGGATGGTGAGATGAAGGGAGGAAGGTGAGACGAAGGGAGGATGGTGAGATAAAGGGAGGAAGGTGAGATGAAGGGAGGAAGGTGAGATGAAGGGAGGAAGGTGAGATGAAGGGAGGATGGTGAGATGAAGGGAGGAAGGTGAGATGAAGGGAGGAAGGTGAGATGAAGGGAGGAAGGTGAGATGAAGGGAGGAAGGTGAGATGAAGGGAGGAAGGTGAGATGAAGGGAGGAAGGTGAGATGAAGGGAGGAAGGTGAGATGAAGGAAGAAGGTGAGATGAAGGGAGGAAGGTGACATGAAGGGAGGAAGGTGAGACGAAGGGAGGATGGTGAGATAAAGGGAGGAAGGTGAGATGAAGGGAGGAAGGTGAGATGAAGGGAGGAAGGTGAGATGAAGGGAGGATGGTGAGATGAAGGGAGGAAGGTGAGATGAAGGGAGGAAGGTGAGATGAAGGGGGGAAGGTGAGATGAAGGGAGGATGGTGAGATAAAGGGAGGAAGGTGAGATGAAGGGAGGAAGGTGAGATGAAGGGAGGAAGGTGAGATGAAGGGAGGAAGGTGAGATGAAGGGAGGAAGGTGAGATGAAGGGAGGAAGGTGAGATGAAGGGAGGAAGGTGAGATGAAGGGAGGATGGTGAGATGAAGGGAGGAATGTGAGATGAAGGGAGGAAGGTGAGATGAAGGGAGGAAGGTGAGATGAAGGGAGGAGGGTGAGATGAAGGGAGGAAGGTGAGATGAAGGGAGGAAGGTGAGATAAAGGGAGGAAGGTGAGATGAAGGGAGGAAGGTGAGATGATGGGAGGATGGTGAGATGAAGGGAGGAAGGTGAGATGAAGGGAGGATGGTGAGATAAAGGGAGGAAGGTGAGATGAAGGAGGAAGGTGAGATGAAGGGAGGAAGGTGAGATGAAGGGAGGATGGTGAGATGAAGGGAGGAAGGTGAGATGAAGGGAGGAAGGTGAGATGAAGGGAGGAAGGTGAGATGAAGGAGGAAGGTGAGATGAAGGGAGGAAGGTGAGATGAAGGGAGGAAGGTGAGATGAAGGGAGAAAGGTGAGATGAAGGGAGGATGGTGAGATGAAGGGAGGAAGGTGAGATGAAGGGAGGAAGGTGAGATGAAGGGAGGAAGGTGAGATGAAGGGAGGAAGGTGAGATGAAGGGAGGAAGGTGAGATGAAGGGAGGAAGGTGAGACGAAGGGAGGATGGTGAGATAAAGGGAGGAAGGTGAGATGAAGGGAGGAAGGTGACATGAAGGGAGGAAGGTGAGATGAAGGGAGGATGGTGAGATGAAGGGAGGAAGGTGAGATGAAGGGAGGAAGGTGAGATGAAGGAGGAAGGTGAGATGAAGGGAGGAAGGTGAGATGAAGGGAGGAAGGTGAGATGAAGGGAGGAAGGTGAGATGAAGGGAGGAAGGTGAGATGATGGGAGGATGGTGAGATGAAGGGAGGAAGGTGAGATGAAGGGAGGATGGTGAGATGAAGGAGGAAGGTGAGATGAAGGGAGGAAGGTGAGATGGTGGGAGGATGGTGAGATGAAGGGAGGAAGGTGAGATGAAGGGAGGAAGGTGAGATGAAGGGAGGAAGGTGAGATGAAGGGAGGAAGGTGAGATGAAGGGAGGAAGGTGAGATGAAGGGAGGAAGGTGAGATGAAGGGAGGAAGGTGAGATGAAGGAGGAAGGTGAGATGAAGGGAGGAAGGTGAGATGAAGGGAGGAAGGTGAGACGAAGGGAGGAAGGTGAGACGAAGGGAGGATGGTGAGATGAAGGGAGGAAGGTGAGACGAAGGGAGGATGGTGAGATAAAGGGAGGAAGGTGAGATGAAGGGAGGAAGGTGAGATGAAGGGAGGAAGGTGAGATGAAGGGAGGATGGTGAGATGAAGGGAGGAAGGTGAGATGAAGGGAGGAAGGTGAGATGAAGGGAGGAAGGTGAGATGAAGGGAGGAAGGTGAGATGAAGGGAGGAAGGTGAGATGAAGGGAGGAAGGTGAGATGAAGGAGGAAGGTGAGATCAAGGGAGGAAGGTGACATGAAGGGAGGAAGGTGAGACGAAGGGAGGATGGTGAGATAAAGGGAGGAAGGTGAGATGAAGGGAGGAAGGTGAGATGAAGGGAGGAAGGTGAGATGAAGGGAGGATGGTGAGATGAAGGGAGGAAGGTGAGATGAAGGGAGGAAGGTGAGATGAAGGGCGGAAGGTGAGATGAAGGGAGGATGGTGAGATAAAGGGAGGAAGGTGAGATGAAGGGAGGAAGGTGAGATGATGGGAGGATGGTGAGATGAAGGGAGGAAGGTGAGATGAAGGGAGGATGGTGAGATAAAGGGAGGAAGGTGAGATGAAGGAGGAAGGTGAGATGAAGGGAGGAAGGTGAGATGAAGGGAGGATGGTGAGATGAAGGGAGGAAGGTGAGATGAAGGGAGGAAGGTGAGATGAAGGGAGGAAGGTGAGATGAAGGAGGAAGGTGAGATGAAGGGAGGAAGGTGAGATGAAGGGAGGAAGGTGAGATGAAGGGAGAAAGGTGAGATGAAGGGAGGATGGTGAGATGAAGGGAGGAAGGTGAGATGAAGGGAGGAAGGTGAGATGAAGGGAGGAAGGTGAGATGAAGGGAGGAAGGTGAGATGAAGGGAGGAAGGTGAGATGAAGGGAGGAAGGTGAGACGAAGGGAGGATGGTGAGATGAAGGGAGGAAGGTGAGATGAAGGGAGGAAGGTGAGATGAAGGAGGAAGGTGAGATGAAGGGAGGAAGGTGAGATGAAGGGAGGAAGGTGAGATGAAGGGAGGAAGGTGAGATGAAGGGAGGAAGGTGAGATGATGGGAGGATGGTGAGATGAAGGGAGGAAGGTGAGATGAAGGGAGGATGGTGAGATAAAGGGAGGAAGGTGAGATGAAGGAGGAAGGTGAGATGAAGGGAGGAAGGTGAGATGGTGGGAGGATGGTGAGATGAAGGGAGGAAGGTGAGATGAAGGGAGGATGGTGAGATGAAGGGAGGAAGGTGAGATGAAGGGAGGAAGGTGAGATGAAGGGAGGAAGGTGAGATGAAGGGAGGAAGGTGAGATGAAGGGAGGAAGGTGAGATGAAGGAGGAAGGTGAGATGAAGGGAGGAAGGTGAGATGAAGGGAGGAAGGTGAGACGAAGGGAGGAAGGTGAGACGAAGGGAGGATGGTGAGATGAAGGAGGAAGGTGAGATCAAGGGAGGAAGGTGACATGAAGGGAGGAAGGTGAGACGAAGGGAGGATGGTGAGATAAAGGGAGGAAGGTGAGATGAAGGGAGGAAGGTGAGATGAAGGGAGGAAGGTGAGATGAAGGGAGGATGGTGAGATGAAGGGAGGAAGGTGAGATGAAGGGAGGAAGGTGAGATGAAGGGCGGAAGGTGAGATGAAGGGAGGATGGTGAGATAAAGGGAGGAAGGTGAGATGAAGGGAGGAAGGTGAGATGATGGGAGGATGGTGAGATGAAGGGAGGAAGGTGAGATGAAGGGAGGATGGTGAGATAAAGGGAGGAAGGTGAGATGAAGGAGGAAGGTGAGATGAAGGGAGGAAGGTGAGATGAAGGGAGGATGGTGAGATGAAGGGAGGAAGGTGAGATGAAGGGAGGAAGGTGAGATGAAGGGAGGAAGGTGAGATGAAGGAGGAAGGTGAGATGAAGGGAGGAAGGTGAGATGAAGGGAGGAAGGTGAGATGAAGGGAGAAAGGTGAGATGAAGGGAGGATGGTGAGATGAAGGGAGGAAGGTGAGATGAAGGGAGGAAGGTGAGATGAAGGGAGGAAGGTGAGATGAAGGGAGGAAGGTGAGATGAAGGGAGGAAGGTGAGATGAAGGGAGGAAGGTGAGACGAAGGGAGGATGGTGAGATGAAGGGAGGAAGGTGAGATGAAGGGAGGAAGGTGAGATGAAGGAGGAAGGTGAGATGAAGGGAGGAAGGTGAGATGAAGGGAGGAAGGTGAGATGAAGGGAGGAAGGTGAGATGAAGGGAGGAAGGTGAGATGATGGGAGGATGGTGAGATGAAGGGAGGAAGGTGAGATGAAGGGAGGATGGTGAGATAAAGGGAGGAAGGTGAGATGAAGGAGGAAGGTGAGATGAAGGGAGGAAGGTGAGATGGTGGGAGGATGGTGAGATGAAGGGAGGAAGGTGAGATGAAGGGAGGATGGTGAGATGAAGGGAGGAAGGTGAGATGAAGGGAGGAAGGTGAGATGAAGGAGGAAGGTGAGATGAAGGGAGGAAGGTGAGATGAAGGGAGGAAGGTGAGATGAAGGGAGGAAGGTGAGATGAAGGGAGGAAGGTGAGATGATGGGAGGATGGTGAGATGAAGGGAGGAAGGTGAGATGAAGGGAGGATGGTGAGATAAAGGGAGGAAGGTGAGATGAAGGAGGAAGGTGAGATGAAGGGAGGAAGGTGAGATGGTGGGAGGATGGTGAGATGAAGGGAGGAAGGTGAGATGAAGGGAGGAAGGTGAGATGAAGGGAGGAAGGTGAGATGAAGGGAGGAAGGTGAGATGAAGGGAGGAAGGTGAGATGAAGGGAGGAAGGTGAGATGAAGGGAGGAAGGTGAGATGAAGGAGGAAGGTGAGATGAAGGGAGGAAGGTGAGATGAAGGGAGGAAGGTGAGATGAAGGGAGGAAGGTGAGATGATGGGAGGATGGTGAGATGAAGGGAGGAAGGTGAGATGAAGGGAGGATGGTGAGATAAAGGGAGGAAGGTGAGATGAAGGAGGAAGGTGAGATGAAGGGAGGAAGGTGAGATGGTGGGAGGATGGTGAGATGAAGGGAGGAAGGTGAGATGAAGGGAGGAAGGTGAGATGAAGGGAGGAAGGTGAGATGAAGGGAGGAAGGTGAGATGAAGGGAGGAAGGTGAGATGAAGGGAGGAAGGTGAGATGAAGGGAGGAAGGTGAGATGAAGGAGGAAGGTGAGATGAAGGGAGGAAGGTGAGATGAAGGGAGGAAGGTGAGACGAAGGGAGGAAGGTGAGACGAAGGGAGGATGGTGAGATGAAGGGAGGAAGGTGAGACGAAGGGAGGATGGTGAGATAAAGGGAGGAAGGTGAGATGAAGGGAGGAAGGTGAGATGAAGGGAGGAAGGTGAGATGAAGGGAGGATGGTGAGATGAAGGGAGGAAGGTGAGATGAAGGGAGGAAGGTGAGATGAAGGGAGGAAGGTGAGATGAAGGGAGGAAGGTGAGATGAAGGGAGGAAGGTGAGATGAAGGGAGGAAGGTGAGATGAAGGAGGAAGGTGAGATCAAGGGAGGAAGGTGACATGAAGGGAGGAAGGTGAGACGAAGGGAGGATGGTGAGATAAAGGGAGGAAGGTGAGATGAAGGGAGGAAGGTGAGATGAAGGGAGGAAGGTGAGATGAAGGGAGGATGGTGAGATGAAGGGAGGAAGGTGAGATGAAGGGAGGAAGGTGAGATGAAGGGCGGAAGGTGAGATGAAGGGAGGATGGTGAGATAAAGGGAGGAAGGTGAGATGAAGGGAGGAAGGTGAGATGAAGGGAGGAAGGTGAGATGAAGGGAGGAAGGTGAGATGAAGGGAGGAGGGTGAGATGAAGGGAGGAAGGTGAGATGAAAGGAGGAAGGTGAGATAAAGGGAGGAAGGTGAGATGAAGGGAGGAAGGTGAGATGAAGGGAGGAAGGTGAGATGAAGGGAGGAAGGTGAGATGAAGGGAGGAAGGTGAGATGAAGGGAGGAAGGTGAGATGAAGGGAGGAAGGTGAGATGAAGGGAGGAAGGTGAGATGAAGGGAGGAAGGTGAGATGAAGGGAGGAAGGTGAGATGAAGGGAGGAAGGTGAGATGAAGGAGGAAGGTGAGATGAAGGGAGGAAGGTGAGATGAAGGGAGGAAGGTGACATGAAGGGAGGAAGGTGAGACAAAGGGAGGATGGTGAGATAAAGGGAGGAAGGTGAGATGAAGGGAGGAAGGTGAGATGAAGGGAGGAAGGTGAGATGAAGGGAGGATGGTGAGATGAAGGGAGGAAGGTGAGATGAAGGGAGGAAGGTGAGATGAAGGGCGGAAGGTGAGATGAAGGGAGGATGGTGAGATAAAGGGAGGAAGGTGAGATGAAGGGAGGAAGGTGAGATGAAGGGAGGAAGGTGAGATGAAGGGAGGAAGGTGAGATGAAGGGAGGAGGGTGAGATGAAGGGAGGAAGGTGAGATGAAAGGAGGAAGGTGAGATAAAGGGAGGAAGGTGAGATGAAGGGAGGAAGGTGAGATGAAGGGAGGAAGGTGAGATGAAGGGAGGAAGGTGAGATGAAGGGAGGAAGGTGAGATGAAGGGAGGATGGTGAGATGAAGGGAGGAAGGTGAGATGAAGGGAGGAAGGTGAGATGAAGGAAGGATGGTGAGATAAAGGGAGGAAGGTGAGATGAAGGGAGGAAGGTGAGATGAAGGGAGGATGGTGAGATGAAGGGAGGAAGGTGAGATGAAGGGAGGAAGGTGAGATGAAGGGAGGAAGGTGAGATGAAGGGAGAAAGGTGAGATGAAGGGAGGATGGTGAGATGAAGGGAGGAAGGTGAGATGAAGGGAGGAAGGTGAGATGAAGGGAGGAAGGTGAGATGAAGGGAGGAAGGTGAGATGAAGGAGGAAGGTGAGATGAAGGGAGGAAGGTGAGATGAAGGGAGGAAGGTGAGATGAAGGGAGGAAGGTGAGACGAAGGGAGGATGGTGAGATAAAGGGAGGAAGGTGAGATGAAGGGAGGAAGGTGAGATGAAGGGAGGAAGGTGAGATGAAGGGAGGATGGTGAGATGAAGGGAGGAAGGTGAGATGAAGGGAGGAAGGTGAGATGAAGGGAGGAAGGTGAGATGAAGGGAGGAAGGTGAAATGAAGGGAGGAAGGTGAGATGAAGGGAGGAAGGTGAGATGAAGGAGGAAGGTGAGATGAAGGGAGGAAGGTGAGATGAAGGGAGGAAGGTGAGATGAAGGGAGGAAGGTGAGACGAAGGGAGGATGGTGAGATAAAGGGAGGAAGGTGAGATGAAGGGAGGAAGGTGAGATGAAGGGAGGAAGGTGAGATGAAGGGAGGATGGTGAGATGAAGGGAGGAAGGTGAGATGAAGGGAGGAAGGTGAGATGAAGGGCGGAAGGTGAGATGAAGGGAGGATGGTGAGATAAAGGGAGGAAGGTGAGATGAAGGGAGGAAGGTGAGATGAAGGGAGGAAGGTGAGATGAAGGGAGGAAGGTGAGATGAAGGGAGGAGGGTGAGATGAAGGGAGGAAGGTGAGATGAAGGGAGGAAGGTGAGATAAAGGGAGGAAGGTGAGATGAAGGGAGGAAGGTGAGATGAAGGGAGGAAGGTGAGATGAAGGGAGGAAGGTGAGATGAAGGGAGGATGGTGAGATGAAGGGAGGAATGTGAGATGAAGGGAGGAAGGTGAGATGAAGGGAGGAAGGTGAGATGAAGGGAGGAGGGTGAGATGAAGGGAGGAAGGTGAGATGAAGGGAGGAAGGTGAGATAAAGGGAGGAAGGTGAGATGAAGGGAGGAAGGTGAGATGAAGGGAGGAAGGTGAGATGAAGGGAGGAAGGTGAGATGAAGGGAGGAAGGTGAGATGAAGGAGGAAGGTTACTCCCGGATCCGTTGATATCTCAGAGTGCAAGCAGCGCCATGTCACATGATCATAGTGGTGACTTCTTCTCATGTACAATATGCTACCATTTGCTCACAAGTTGCTCTTCGTTTTCTCTAGTACGTCACCCTACATTCATACACACAAAACAAGTCTGGATATATGCCGTGCTGTGGCAGTTGAGTCGACTCAAAAGTCACCTCCTGGCAATTGTGGTGTGCTGTGGCACGCTTACGCCACCGAACAAGTCTGGAAACATGCTGTGGTGTGCTGTGGCAGGTCATCTTACAGGGTGAGGAGAAGCGGAGCACCAAGAGTGGCGGGAAGCGTGCCAGTCAGCTTGTTTCCCACGAGCCTTCTGTACGGGTGGGCAGAGAAGTATACTCGCACTGAAAAGTCAGTGATATGGGTGGGGGATTATCTCCAATGGTGATGACGGCGTGTAAGGCAATGATTTGTGTTGGGGTGAGGACATGAGGGCGAGAAAAGCAGAGAAGTATGACAAAAAGTGATCTGTGTAAGGGCTCTGCTCGCAGCAAGCAGCAGCACTGACAGCAAGCAGCAGCACTGACAGCAAGCAGCAGCAGTGACAGCAAGGAGCAGCACTGACAGCAAGCAGCAGCACTGACAGGGTATTAAGGTAAGGCAGCGAGCCGAGGCCGGATGGAATAGAGCCTCCCACCCCTGTGTAGTCGAGGTCCCTGGTGTGGGCATGGTGTTAGGGGGGTAAGTAGGGTCAGACGATGGGCATGATGTTGGTAAGAGGATGAGAAGGTAGGGGGTAGAGGATGGGGCAAGTTGGGAAGATGCTGTAGTTGGGCAGCAAGATTACTGCAACCCAAGAACCTCACTGAAACGTGAACGTCACTGAAAAAATAAATGAAAAGGAAAGAAAAGAAAAGAAAAGAAAAAAAAAAACACAAAAAAAGGCACGATGTGCTCTGTCCCTGTGTGTTCAGGGTTATCGTGAAGGCTTACAGCACGATGAGGCTCGTAAGGGCAGTGATGATGCTGGGAATGGTGCTGCCTGTGAAGTTGTTGCCTGAGAGCATGCTGCAAGGGACAGAGCGGAGAGCATTCACACATGAACGGTGCTGGAGAGATTTCTCACATGTCTCAGGAATAATGCTGCCTGTGAAGTTGTTTCCGAGATCTTGCTGCAAGGAGCAGAGCGTAGGGCATTCACACATGCTGCTGCAATGAGGCTCCGGTGACTGTTCTTTCCTCCTCCCCCACTCGCATATCACCCTCCCCTCACACGCCTCATCCCCCTCTCACACCCCTCCCTCCTCTCACACGCCTCCTCCCCCCCTAGCACACCCACCCTCCCTCCCCTCACACGTGTGCCTCCTCCCCTGGCTCACAGTACTCCATTTTGGGAATGGTGCCAATGGTGTTGGTGAGTGGACCAATATTGTTGTTGGCACTGCTGGTACCTCCCTCACAACCCACCCTCCCCTCACACATATGTTGAGAAAGACGCACGGAGGACGCTGCGTCCTGCGTCTGGACGCAGTGTCTGGACGCACGGACGCAGGACGCGCGTCCAGACGCAGGACGCACGGCAAATTTTTTTCCGGGCTGCCCGGAAAAAAAAATCCGATCGTGAAATTGACATTCGCGATTTCGACGCGAATGTCAAAATCGCGAAATTTTGACCCCCCCCCCCCCCTTGCCCAAATCGCCATTCTAAAACAGCCCCCCCAACATTTCATAACCCTTCATTTTACCCACCCACCGAATTCTCTTTCGTAAACCCTGGAGGTTTTAGCTTACTAGCTTAACTCCGTTATGGCTAAAATGTGTGTGTGACCTTGTGACATGTGTGACGTGACGTGACTCACCTTTATCTTGAATTTTGGGGGAAAAAATTGTTGTTGGGGACAAATTTGCCTTAGAAGTGTGGAACGTCCCCCACCCGCCCCCCCCTCCCTCCCCTCCTCTTCCCATGCCCTATAACAATTTGTTTGCCTGCCCGGAAGGGTTTTTTGCCCTGCCCGTGCTTGCGTCTTTTGGTGCGTCTTTCTGGTCCTGGTGCTGCGTCCTGCGTCTGGACGCATCCGTCCAGGACCCAGGACGCGTCTTTCTCAACATAGCCTCACACCCCACCCTCCCCTCACACCCCACCCTCCCCTCACACCTCACACCCCACCCCCCCTTACACCCCACCATCTTCTCACACACGCACCTCCTCCCCTGACTCACATGTACTCGAGGTTGGGAATGGTGCCGATGCTGTCAGTGAGCGGCCCGATGTTGTTGTTGGTGAGATCGCTGTGAGACGTGGGAGGGAGAGGCGAGGGAGGGAAGTGGGAGGGAGGGCATGGGATGCAAGTGGGAGGGAGGGCATGGGATGCAAGTGGGAGGGAGGGCATGGGATGCAAGTGGGAGGGAGGGCATGGGATGCAAGTGGGAGGGAGGGCATGGGATGCAAGTGGGAGGGAGGGCATGGGATGCAAGTGGAAGGGAGGGCATGGGATGCAAGTGGGAGGGAGGGCATGGGATGCAAGTGGGAGGGAGGGCATGGGTGCAATCCAGCCTTAGAGAAGTTATAAATTTGCAAACACGGGTTATGCTTATAGAAGGACTGGGTGTGCTTGAAACAAAAAAAAAGGAAAGTACAGTGAGGTGAGGGTGTGCTTACAGCGAGGTGAGGGTGTGCTTACAGCAAAGTGAGGTTCTTGAGGTTGGAGACTGACTCAGGGATGGGCCCTGTGAGGGCAGCTCCTGTGGTGTCGTGGTCACTCACACTGATGGTCCTGTGCACGCACACGGGGGGGGAAAGGGAATAAACAAGAGAGGAGAGGAGGGATATTGTGAGGCCATGCCTATCACTCACGCTCATGCAGATGCTCATGTGTACGCGCAAGGAGGAAACATGTACAAGAGAGGGACCGTGACACCATTGCCAATCACTCATGCTGGAAGTTTCAGCAAGAGAGAGGCCTTGGACAGAGAGGCCTTGGACAGAGAGAAGGCGCCTCAAGAGAGAGGCCTTGCACAGAAAATAGTTTTTAAGGTTGGCCTGGTGCACAGTGAGGAAATTGAGAACGATACAGAAAAGGCGGGAGAGAGTGATTGTATCGAGAAAGAGGTGTTTACAGTGATTTCAGGCTGGCCATGTTGCCAAAGGATGCCGGGATGCTGCCCGACTCAATCTGGTTAATCTTCCTGCACAACCGGAAGGAGGACAGTGATGAGAGAGAGAGAGAGAGAGAGAGAGAGAGAGAGAGAGAGAGAGAGAGAGAGAGAGAGAGAGAGAGAGAGAGGAGAGAGAGAGAGAGAGAGAGAGAGAGAGAGGGGGGGTAAACCGTGAAACCATTGCCAATTACCCTGCTTGATCACACTGCACGGCAGGAAGGAGGGGAGTGACAATAATAGAGGGGAGTGACAAATAATAGAGGGGAGTGACAATAATAGAGGGGAGTGACAATAATAGAGGGGAGTGACAATGATAGAAGGGAATGACAATGATAGAAGGGAGTGGGCTAGAGAGACAACGCATGGTTATGTGGTGGGGACTAAGCAGCACAGTGGGTGATGGGCAACACCGTGTGTGAAGGGCAATGTAGTGTTCGGTGCGATGCGGTGTGGTGCGGTGAAGAGGGGCTCACAGCTCTTGCAGGTTGGTCATGTTGCCCATGCTGGCGGGCAATGTGCCTCTGATAGGAACTAACTCAAGGTTCCTGCCATGCACGCACGCACATGAGCACACACACACACACAACACACACACACACACACACACACACACACACGCGCGCGCGCGCACGCACACACACACACACACGCGCGCACACACACACACACCCACCCCCAAGGTTCAAAAATACGACCGTATTTTTGATTTTTTGCCGTAAATTACGGAATCGTAAATTACGGTCGTAAATTACGGTAAAAAACGGTAAATCATTGTATTTTAATGTTGGTGCAAAAATACGGTCGTAAATTACGACCGAAATTTTGATACCGAGTTTGCAATAGCGAATTTCGGCGTTTCACAACCGTCACCCTGGGTCAGAAACATTTGTGCGGCCAAATGCACACGTGTTGGTTTTTTTTCCCGAGTCGCGCATGTCAGGTATTTCTCGAGGCGCGACATTTGGTTTTTTGGCGAACGGATTCTTGCTCTGTTGCCTTGACGAAATGTCAGTTTGCGCATTTCGCCGAAGCGCAAATATACAAATTTGCGCGATGCGGTAAACTGTACATTTGGCGAACCGTTGTCACCCGTCAACCCGTTTCGTCAGGTCGGTGGGACGATTCGCGAGCTTTTCGTTTTTTTCGCCCGCGTGCGCGACACAACCGAACTTTGCGCTGCGAAACCATTTTAACCAATAGCGTTAGCCCAATCCCCATCCCATCCCATCCCACCCCTTCTGCCTTTTCCTTTCGCCAAAGCAACACAACCAAATCTAGCAAGGCACAAAGAGCAGGGCAAACAACCTACTCGACAAGTACATCTTAGCTTAGTAGGCATTTTACTGCTGCAGTCAAGCAAGTGCAGTATTCCACCATGGTTAGACCGTTCTCGGAGGTGTTGGAGCACGTGACGAAGGTCACATCTCCTAACGGCGTAGTTACCGCGACATGCAGCTATTGCCCTGCTACCGTGACCCCAAATGCCACTCGTATTCGAGAGCACATCTACGGGACCCCTCGCTCAAAGGAGAAGAACGTGACGCCGTGTCCATCCAAATTTGCCAAACGGCTACGAGAAGCCGCCGAAAGGGATCGGTCTTCCACACCGTCAAGTTCCAACCGTGCCTCCTCCACCTCCACAACGGTCGAGATGCCGCCCGCAAGGCGTTCTAGGCAGCGGGACATCCGCGATATGGCGGATTCCGTTGCCCGCGCGCGTTTGGACTACCTGTGGGCGGCAGTTGTGGCTGAAAATGATCTTGCCTTCAACGTCTCCAAGTCTCGTGCGCTACAGGCCTTCGTTGACGCGGCTGTCGTCTACGCGAAGCCCTACACACTCCCAACCCCTTACAAGGTGTCCGGATCTCTCCTCGACAAGCTAAGGGCGGACGCCGAGGAGCTTGTGAGGCCGTTGAAGGAGAGTTGGAAGACGACCGGGTGCAGTCTCTCGGTGGATGGGTGGACGTGCTTGAAGTCCCGCGCGATGGTGTGCGTCATCGCCCTCAACGACACCGCGCCCGTCATTGTGGACATCGTCGACTCGAAAACCGCGAAGAAAACAGGGGATTACCTCGCGGGTCTCATCGGCAAGTCCATCTCCGAAGTGGGGAAAGATCTCGTGGTCCAGGTCATTATGGACAACGCCTCTAACAACCGATCTGCGGCTGAGAAGCTTAAGGTGGAGTTTCCCGGGATTTTCTTCACCAATTGCGCCGCCCACTGCTTGGATCTTATGCTTCACGACTTTGGGAAAGTCAAGCCCATCAAACTCGTCTTGGAGCAAGTTCATCGGGTCGTCATGATGATCAAGAGCAGCGCCTCGGCCGTCGTTCTATTCCGCGAGCTTTTTACCAAGCTTTCGTTGGTGCGGCCGGGTGCGACACGTTTCGGCACGCAAGTCATCATGCTACGCCGATTCTTGGAGGTGAAGAAGGCGCTCCAGGAGATGGTCATCAGCGATGAATGGAAAGGGGTGGCGGTGGCGCAGAAGACCAAAGGGCAGGAGGTGCGGACGCTTCTTCTCGACGACGTATTTTGGGACTGCGTGTCTGCGGTGCTCGGCCTCCTCACGCCGGTTTATGAAGTGCTAAGGGTGGTTGACACGCGGGCACAAATCATGGGCCAAATCTATGACCTTATGATTGACATCACGGTCAAGACTCGGGTAGCTGCAGAGGCCGCCGGTAAGTGCAAGGCTATTTATTGGTTTTCCTACTCCTTGATCCAAAACTGTGATGCGAGATCATGCCGCGCATGCCAATCCCTACATTAACGAAAACCACCTCCATTCTCACCGTGAGCAGCGGCGGTGTTCGTCAAGAAGACGGGTCTGCTCTTGGCCAAGGACAAGAGCTCCTTCATCACATCCATCAAGGGCATCCTTGCCAAGCGTTGGGACGGGCAACTCCACAACTCCCTGCATGCCCTCGGATGGCTTCTTAATCCCCGCAACCAATATGCGGGGGAGGTGAGAACGGATGCGGAGGTGAGGAAGGGGGCCAACGAGGTGATTGATGCCCGGGTGGGGGATGTTGCCCAGCGCATCAAGCTGCAGAAACAGCTGGTGCAGTTTCACAAGGGGGAGGGCCGCCTCGGGTCGGATGACGCGCTATGGGCAGCCAGGATTTTGGTGGCGGGGGGACACATGACGGATGCGGAGTGGTGGTGCATTTTTGGAGGGGAAGTGCAAGCGCTCCAGGAGCTGGCTGTGACGTCCCTTTCACAACCAGTCACCTCGTCAGAGGTGGAGCGGTACTGGTCTGCCCTTGCACGAGTGCAGAGGCGCGACCGGAACCGCATCGCGGCCAAGAAGATGACTGATGTCACCTTCGTGGCCTTCACGAGGAGGGCCCGCGATGCGTTTGATCGCAAAACGCAGGCGCGTGCGAAGTTGTACGCCCATCTCACCGACGGAACCCTCAAAGAGGGCATTGCCGTTCTCCCGCCCGCACCAGTGGAGGCGGTTGATGATGGGGCTGAGGAGGAGGAGGAGGGAGCCGAGGTGCAGGAGTGCACCATCGACTGGAGCGTCTTTGGGAGCATTGGTAAGAAGAAGAAGAAGCGCGCGGGAGAGAGCTCCAAGAGGAAGAAGAAGCAGAAGGGAAAGGGGCCATGCAAGCGGAAGGGGAGAGGAAAGAAGCATGTGGAGGAGGAGGAGGCGGAGGATGACGAGGATGAGGACGACGAAGAGGAGGAGGACGACGAGGAGGAGGAGGACGACGAGGAGGAGGATGAGGAGGAGGAGGATGAGGAGGAGGAGGAGGAGGAGGCGGAGGAGGAGGAAGGATAGGAGGTGGAGTGCCGGAGGAGTAGAAGGAGTTGGAGGAGTAGGATTGGAGGAAGAGGAGGGAATAGAATAGGTGCAGATTTGCCTAACTAGTGTAGTGTAGTTTCTTGTAGGCTTCTCTGCCATCGTTGTAAGCTGCCTACATCACAAAAATCATATGACCAGAAACCTATTGTAAAAAGTTGTGGTGAAGTATTTTCAAATGCTTTTAAAACGTAGGGGCCAAAACGCTTTTCGGTGAAAGTATAAACATTTTTTCGAATGCTTTGTCGAATGCTTTGCAGGTGATGACATGTTTGTATTACCTTCAGGTTAGGGTCTGTCTGAGTTTCTTCGGAGATGTATAAGACTTCGTTCGGAGAGTTCAGGGAGATTACTTTCCACTCATATACTCTTTAGCAGAGCTTAGGACCAAAGTTCAAGAAGATTGTATATGAACCTTTATCAAGTGATTCTCGTTGTTTGATGGAAGGTCTATTAGCCATTCTTAGGTGTACACGCACATCATGAATGCATTGCTCAATGATTATTAATCTCATTACAGAGTTGGCTTGGCACACAAAACAGCTGCCTAAACACGCGTTGTGTAGTCCTGCTAGGGTGGATTAATCTGCACCATCCTCCTACCTACTTCGCAAGCCATCATCGGATGCAGCCCCGCCCCATCTCTCCAGCTCTTGGCCTAGAGAGTTCTTGACTACAGATACTGCTCCATCTAATGCTAACCTGCACGGCTACACACTTCCTGTCTCCTCTCTTGCTTATACTCCTGTCCCCTTGCTGTCTCCACGCTGCTGCCCCCTATGCGGTCTCCTCTCATGCCTGCTCCTGCTGCTCCACATTGGGCCTCTCCTGGAACTCCCCTCTTACCTCCCGGCCTCCCCCCCCTGATGCTACTCATGCTGCCTCCACTGCTCCTCCACTACTGCCTCACATGCTGCCTCCACTGCTCCTCCGCCACCCAGGCAACCTGCAAAACGGTCGCATATTAAATATGCACTCCTCCCCTACTGCCACGGGATGTTGCCTCCCCCCTGCTGCCATTCAATGTTGCCTCCCAAGCTGCCTCCCTTTGTTGTCTCCCCTGCTGCCATTCTAGTTGCCTCCCATGCTGCCTCTCTCTGTTGCCTACCCTGCTGCTGTTCAATGTTGCCTCCCCTACCGCCTCCCTTTGTTGCCTCCCCTGCCCCTTTGTTGCCTCCCCTGCTGCCATTCTATGTTGCCTCCCATGCTGCCTCTCTCTGTTGTCTCGCCTGCTGCCATTCTATGTTGCCTCCCCTACTCCCTCTCTCTGTTGCCTACCCTGCTGCTATTTAATGTTGCCTCCCCTGCTGCCTCCCTTTGTTGCCTCCCCTGCTGCCATTCTATGTTGCCTCCCATTCTGCCTCTCTGTTGCCTCCCCTGCTGTCATTCTATGTTGCCTTCCCTGCTCCCTCTCCCTGTTGCCTCCCGTGGTGCCTTTCTCTGTTGCCTCCCCTGCTGTCATTCTATGTTGCCTTCCCTGCTCCCTCTCCCTGTTGCCTCCCGTGGTGCCTTTCTATGTTGCCTCCCCTGCTGCCTTTCCTTGTTGACTCTCGGCTTCTTACCCTTGTTGCCTATCCTGATGCCTTTCCTTTATCCATACCCGTTAAACGCCCCTGCTCTCCCCGTTAACCGATACCCTCCTGCCTCACCCGATGCCTCTCCAACTTCCTCCACTGCCACCCGTCCTGCTTGCCCCCTTGTCTGCCTGCACATCACTTTCCCCTCCTGCCACCCATGTTTTTGCCTCTCTTGTGCCTTCTGCTCCCTCTCAACTCCTTCCCCCCCTGCTCATCATCCTCCTCTTCCTCTTCCTCCTCTTCATCCTCCTCCTCATCCTCCTCATCCTCATCCTCCTCCTCCTCTTCCTCCTCTTCCTCCTCTTGCTCCTCCTCCTCCTTCTCACTGAAATCCTCTTGCTCCTCCTCCTCCTCCTCCTCCTCGTTATCAGCCTGAGCCGTCCCCCGGAACGCCTGAAACCCGGACTCATGTACATAGAGCCCACGCGTGCCCCACTTGAAGCCCTGCAACTCTGCGTTGTACACGGGGGTGTGGCGTGTAAAGTGATCCCTTACAATCCTCCGCACCCCCCGAGTCAAACTCCTCATCCATCTAGTGTTTTTCCTGTGGGAGTTCGGCAGGTTCATGTCGGTCTCCTTGAAGCGCGCCAAGCCTTGATCAATCTGAAACGGGTTTGGATTACAGGGACCAGCAGCAAGGCAGAGTTGCATGTTACCGGTGTTAGCCCCCAAGGGTCCCAAGTCGTTCACGTGCAATAGAAAAGATTGAGCATTAGGGCAATTACATGTGATTTACAAAACCAGTCTCACCACCATGAGTGACCAGGCTATGTGGTACGTCTTTAGGGCCAGCCTGCGCCCAACAGCGTAATCCCGAAATGATGCCTTCACCGCATCCACAAACCGGGCGTTGGCAAAAGGGAGCCCGGATCTGTCGTTCCCCCACGAGCTGACCCGCTCATTCCCTCCTACAAGGAGGCACAACCATGTGGGGAAGCACGGGGTATGTTTTATCATCAAGTAGTGGGGCAGGCAGTGTTTGGAGGTATGTTTGGGCATCGTAAGAAGGGGCAGGCCGGGCAGAGGGGTTTGGGTGAGGATCCTGGGGTGGGGCAGGCAGGGCAGAGGGGTTCGGGTTTAGGATCCTGAGGTGGGGCAGGCAGGGCAGAGGGGTTTGGGTGAGGATCCTGAGGTGGGGCAGGCAGGGCAGAGGGGTTTGGGTTTAGGATCCTGAGGTGGGGCAGGCAGGGAAGAGGGGTTTGGGTGAGGATCCTGAGGTGGGGCAGGCCGGGCAGAGGGGTTTGGGTGAGGATCCTGAGGTGGGGCAGGCAGGGCAGAGGGGTTTGGGTGAGGATCCTGAGGTGGGGCAGGCAGGGCAGAGGGGTTTGGGTGAGGATCCTGAGGTGGGGCAGGCAGGGCAGAGGGGTTTGGGTTTAGGATCCTGAGGTGGGGCAGGCAGGGCAGAGGGGTTTGGGTGAGGATCCTGAGGTGGGGCAGGCAGGGCAGAGGGGTTTGGGCGAGGAACCTGAGGTGGGGCAGGCAGGGCAGAGGGGTTTGGGTGAGGATCCTGAGGTGGGGCAGGCAGGGCAGAGGGGTTTGGGTTTAGGGTCCTGAGGTGGGGCAGGCAGGGCAGAGGGGTTTGGGTGAGGATCCTGAGGTGGGGCAGGCAGGGCAGAGGGGTTTGGGTTTAGGGTCCTGAGGTGGGGCAGGCAGGGCAGAGGGGTTTGGGTGAGGATCCTGAGGTGGGGCAGGCAGGGCAGAGGGGTTTGGGTTTAGGGTCCTGAGGTGGGGCAGGCAGGGCAGAGGGGTTTGGGTGAGGATCCTGAGGTGGGGCAGGCAGGGCAGAGGGGTTTGGGTTTAGGATCCTGAGGTGGGGCAGGCAGGGCAGATGGGTTTGGGTGAGGATCCTGAGGTGGGGCAGGCAGGGCAGAGGGGTTTGGGTTTAGCATCCTGAGGTGGGGCAGGCAGGGCAGAGGGGTTTGTGTTTAGGATCCTGAGGTGGGGCAGGCAGGGCAGATGGGTTTGGGTGAGGATCCTGAGGTGGGGCAGGCAGGGCAGAGGGGTTTGGGTTTAGGATCCTGAGGTGGGGCAGGCAGGGCAGAGGGGTTTGGGTTTAGGGTCCTGAGGTGGGGCAGGCAGGGCAGAGGGGTTTGGGTGAGGATCCTGAGGTGGGGCAGGCAGGGCAGAGGGGTTTGGGTTTAGGATCCTGAGGTGGGGCAGGCAGGGCAGAGGGGTTTGGGTTTAGGATCCTGAGGTGGGGCAGGCAGGGCAGAGGGGTTTGGGTGAGGATCCTGAGGTGGGGCAGGCAGGGCAGAGGGGTTTGAGTGAGGATCCTGAGGTGGGGCAGGCAGGGCAGAGGGGTTTGAGTGAGGATCCTGAGGTGGGGCAGGCAGGGCAGAGGGGTTGGGGTTTAGGATCCTGAGGTGGGGCAGGCAGGGCAGAGGGGTTTGGGTGAGGATCCTGAGGTGGGGCAGGCAGGGCAGAGGGGTTTGGGTGAGGATCCTGAGGTGGGGCAGGCAGGGCAGAGGGGTTTGGGTTTAGGATCCTGAGGTGGGGCAGGCAGGGCAGAGGGGTTTGAGTGAGGATCCTGAGGTGGGGCAGGCAGGGCAGAGGGGTTTGGGTGAGGATCCTGAGGTGGGGCAGGCAGGGCAGAAGAGTTTGGGTTTACGATCCTGAGGTGGGGCAGGCAGGGCAGAGGGGTTTGGGCGAGGAACCTGCGGTGGGGAATGCAGGGCAGACGGGTTTGTGACCATGACATGATGGGGCCAGGTTTAGGAAATAAAAGTGCTATCTGAAAAGACAAAGGGAATGAGCAACGCGACGAAACCAACGTAGTTGCAGCGGGATAGCTGATTGTCAAGACTCACTCGGTTTGTATTCTCGCCACAACCTCCACTTCCTCTTCGTGCTCAGCTTGATCTGCGATGCACGCAGTCCCTCCACCTTCACTCCAAACTTCTCGAGCACACCGCGCTTGACTTGAAATCCCCGTTCATTCTTCCATGCTGTCCACACACGTTTAAAGACGGCAACGACGTTCTGATCCTTCATTGTCTCTTTCAGCTGCATGTAAGAAATGATGTGGGTCTCACTGATGACGCCATACAGAACCTGTAGTCGCTGGTCAAATGATGGGTACCAGTCAACCGCATGGTCCGGCGCTTCCATGCACATCCGGTCCCGCGCCTCAACAAAATGAAGCTACAATGGACGGGATGGTAGGGCAAGAAGAAATCAGTGGCGAGGGGCAAGCATATCAAATGTGGGGCAGGCAGAGGGGGTTATAATTAACAACCATGACAATGTGGGGCTGGCAAGGGGGTTACGAATGAGCAAGAACAGACGTAGTGCAGGCAGAGGGGGTTTGGAACGACATGCTGGACAATGTGGGGCTAGCAAGGGGGGTTAACATGAGCATGAATAGCAAGATGCTAGCAGGGGGTTACGAATGAGCATGAAAGCAACGCAGAGTGCCCCTCACACTCACCCTCAGTTTCTCGAGAGTGGGCATTCCATGCCTGCGCCGAATGGGCTGGCCCTCTGTCGGGGTGCTCTCATCAGCTACCTCGGGACTGAGGCCCCCAGATGATGGGTCGCTCGCCAAAGGTGCCAGAGGAGGAACTTGGGAAGGGGGTCCGAGGTTTTTGACGCCATTGCAAGCTGGTTTTGCCTTGAGGGTTGCTAGTTCGCTGTTTGCTAGCTCAAGCTCTCGCGTGAGCTGCTCCACCGTCTTGGGGCGAGCCGGATTGAGACGACCAGATGCACCGGGCGTGCACATGCTCTCACCCCTCCCCTCGTTCGTGTGTGGATCCCTTTTCTAGGTGTAGTCGTCGCCCCTTTCGTCACGTTCATCGTACGGAGAGCCAGCCATAACTCCGCCACAATCACCCAATGTGTTTGCCCACATCCCACCTGCCACACCGTCGTTTGCTGCTGCGGCCGTTGGGTCAGCGTACCGTTTGGGCTTAAAGTCGTCTTTATCAAGATCCGGTGAATCCCGTGTCTCGAGACGCTTCGCAAGTGGGTCTTTTCCCTCCTTGTTATGACGCCATGACCCTGTAGGCAACGGGTCTGCTCCTTTCCCAGCATTTAGTGATGGCCCTCTGAGAGCAGCATAAGGGTCCTCGCGATCGTCACGCCTCCTTCGGGTCTGGTCTTTACGATCAAGATATCCAGTAGGAGCAGCAGTTGCTTTCACTCCCATCTCCGCATAGAATTCAGGCTCGGGCTTCACTTTGGGGCGCACACGGACAACCTGGGAAACCACACGCCGGCGACCGTTGTTGCCATGCGATTTCCCACGACTGTCGCGCCCCTTACGGCCCTTGTCCCGACCCTTGTCACGGTTCCTCTTAGGAATGCCCTTCTTGGCCTTCCGATCACGCCCCTTTCTCTTGGGACGCACCTCATCCGCCTCCTCGCTTTCCGGCTCCAGATCTTGGTCCTCACTCTCCTCCTCCTCCTCCTCCTCCTCCTCCTCCTCCTCCTCCTCCTCCTCCTCCTCGTCCCCATATTCGCTGCCAGATGAACTACCAGATTCCCCGTCGCTGGATCCCTCCTCGGAACCGGACGACGATCTGGGTGAAGCGTACCGTTTCCGTCCCTGGCGAGCCTTCCTCATTTTTCTGTCGTGACCGCCCGTGTCAACCACCTTGCGCCGCTTGTACGTGACTTCAGCCCCTCGTCCCTTACGCTCCCCATCACTGTCGCCCTTAGTGCTTACAGCCCCTCGTCCCTTATGCTCCCTATCACTGTCGCCCTTAGTGCTTACAGCCCCTCGTCCCTTACGCTCCCCATCACTGTCGCCCTTAGTGCTTACAGCCCCTCGTCCCTTACGCTCCCCATCACTGTCGCCCTTAGCGCCTACAGCCCCTCGTCCCTTACGCTCCCCATCACTGTCGCCCTTAGCGCCTACAGCCCCTCGTCCCTTGCGCTCCCCATCACTGTCGCCCTTATCGCCTACAGCCCCTCGTCCCTTACGCTCCCCATCACTGTCGCCCTTAGCGCCTACAGCCCCTCGTCCCTTACGCTCCCCATCACTGTCGCCCTTAGCGCCTACAGCCCCTCGTCCCTTGCGCTCCCCATCACTGTCGCCCTTAGCGCCTACAGCCCCTCGTCCCTTGCGCTCCCCATCACTGTCGCCCTTAGCGCCTACAGCCCCTCGTCCCTTACCCTCCCCGTCTTTGGCAGGCCCAGACTGTAGCACGTCGTCGCCACCGGCCAATGCCACCTTATCCTGACGATGGAAAGAACTGCCCCTCTCCACCGCACTCCTCCCCTTCCTGCGCTTTGCTCTCGGACGGCAGTGACCCTTCTCTTCTGACCCGGCTGTGAAAAGCATAAAAAGAGAAAAATGAGTAGTCACATGTGACGTAAGCGGGATACGCGGTAACAACCTATAGGCATCCCAGAAATTACGCAAGGAGCCATATAATTGCTGGTGGGATCCGGTGAACACGTACCTTTCTGGCCTATTTTGGGGTTGCATTCTTCCAACTTCTTGATACGCCGTTCCCTCCGTTTCGGGGGCGATGAAATAGCCTTGTTTGCGTATGACTCCACATCGCCGTCACGGCTGGAGTCGTTTTCAGATGAAGAATCGCCCCCTGACTTGCTGTCGTTGCAAGCTTTGGACGGATGTCTCCTACGATACTCGTTGACGACTTGGGCCGTTTTCTCTGGTGTGACTACCTCCATATATCTCTTCTCATCTGGCGATTTGGTAGAACTAGGCAACTCAACAACCCCTACTTGCGCATTAAGGGTTTGAGCTTGAACTGTTGGATCTAGGTTCACACCCATGACGGGCGTGTTACGGAAGTTAGGAATTAGATAGTGACTTGACTCACCAGCGGATACTAGCATTAAATGTCAGTTGGTTGCTGAGGTCCGAGTACCAGACACGGTGGTGGAGCAGGTGTACGTGATCCAACCACCACGTATGAGCAGCACCAGGCTGATGAGGGTTTGAACATGCGGTTTAGAGAAGCACGATGGTCCTTCGAGATCCACCGCCTCTCCAGACCAGAGCACAGGTACATGGGCTGTTACTGTAGATGGGAAGAAGCTAGACGGTCACGGTCACAGGTAATGACGCTTTGGCCAGGTTTCCAGAAACTGCACTCGTGTTCGCGCCACTGACTGTATGGTCCGTTGGATACCTACGGCGCGCTGCTGATTGTTTTGCCGCTAAGTGCGAAAGGGACGGCCTATGATAAATAAACCAGCGGCAACGAGTGAGAGTTTGAACTGCCCGACTCCCTCGTGTTGCTGAATTACAGGCAACGCGACAGGTGCCGCACGTATATTATCACAATAGTCACGTACCATGCCCGATGAGCAGCTGCGACTACTCAGCGAACTACACGAGAGAGGGAAGGTGGGCTCGTGGTCGCACAACGTCGTGCAGCCACGTACAACAGGTCGACACAGCGTGATTGTGCAAGGGAACACCTGAAATCGCGGCGACGTGAGTCGCCGCACAGCGATTGCGACACGGTCGCAACGGCTCAGTGGTGTGATGAGCGCAGGTGTCGTAGGCGTGGGGTGTGAGGCGCATCCGAATTTCCAGCGCGTATAAACGCCTAGTCTCGCTATGCTACAGTATTGGCATGTACTACCCTGTTCAAAATTGGGTGTATAATCGTCATGGAAATCCGCTCAATTGGTTCATAGAGTCCAGTCCTGCCTTTATATTCCATGGGGACACACTGGTTTTTAACAAATAACCAACACAAATCAGTAGGATGCACACAGTGATGTCGTTAATCGATTAAAATCTCTGCTCTATGCACCGTAGCTTAAATTTTGAACAGCCAAGCAATCCTGTCAAATTCACCGTTACAGTTTACTATGGGTTGTGATTATCTTCATGTATAGACGTGTGATTTTCATTACTGAAGAATAGCATGAAGACACGTGGTTACATGCAGCTGAGACAGTTGTTGATCTCCCTGGCAAAACAGCACATGCAAGCCAGTTGCCTTTTGCAAAGCTAGTCACTGGGACAAGGTCAATGTACTATGGCTGAGTGCAATGACCAAGTCCACTTTCCATTATGTGCACCTCTCCGTAATCTGCACCTCTACAACCTCTGCAACTCTTTGTTCACTACCTCACCCAGTCCACTGCACCTCTCCATTCGCTAAACCTCTCCCTTCCCTGCACCTCTCCGTTCCCTGCACCTCTCCGTTCTCTGCCCCTCTCCTCCGTCCTCTGCACCTCTCCGTCCGCTGCACCTCTCCGTTCTTTGCACCTCTCCATTCTCTGCACCTCTCCGTTCTCTGCACCTCTCCGTTCTCTGCACCTCTCCGTCCTCTACACCTCTCGTTTCTCTGCACCTCTCCGTTCTCAGCACCTCTCCGTCCTCTACACCTCCTTGTTCTCTATCCAGTTGGTCCACAAGACCACATTCGCCGGACATTATTCATCTGCCATATCTCCTGCCCGTTTATCCATACTTTATCGACAAGTTCATCCCACTGACAGGCTGCCTAAGAAACCAAGGTGTATACAAGGAGGAGGTAGCGAGGCTTAACAAGAGAGTTGACTGCTGGGTCATCATCAATAACAAGGTGCGCCTCTCATACCGACATCACATGCCGCAAGTGCCACACATGCCTCACATGCCTCACGTGCCTCACACGCCTCACATGAATACATGCCACCACGATACCTCACCCGATGCCACACATGCCACTCATGCCTCACGTGCCTCACATGCCTCACGTGCCTCAGATTTATCACGTGCCTCACATGCCACACGTGCCTCACGGGAGTCACCTGAGCTCCGCCTCCCATGCCTCGTATGCCTCACATGCATCACATGTCAGCACAATGCCCCACATGCCACTCATGCCTCACGTGCCTCGCATGCCTCACGTGCCTCACATGTCCCGTCGTGCATCATGTTCCTCACATGAGCTCTGCCTCTCATGCCTCGTATACCTCGTATGCCTCACATGCCGGCTCGATGCATCACATGCCTCAAACACCTCATACGCCATTCATGCCCCACGTGCTTCACATGCCTCCTCTTCCTCCTCCTCCACCTCTTCCTCCTACTCCTCCTCCACCTACTCCACTACATCCGCCTGCACCTTCTCATCCTCCTCATCCACCTCCTCCTCCTGGTTTCGAGGTTGGTTCAACGCATTTTCGAGGAAGAAGACAGACCACTTCTTCAGGTCGCGAAGGTACTAACGGCGCCACTTACTCGGTGTACCAACAAGCTTACACGCACCCAGGTTATGGAACTTGTTTTCAACAAGTGTGTGCATCACGCGCATCGTGAACACACCGCAGTCATTCTCATTAGTCTGCGACGGAATCTGTCAACACACATTCGCACATGCACGTGGCTGTCAAAAGGTGGGTCGTTGATTGAGAGCTGGCATTTAAGACAACGGGATCAGAGGTCACCTTGACGACGCGCAGAGGGATGCTCGCAGCCCAAGCATCTGCGTCCGAATCAAGGATCCAAGTTGAGACCCTCATAACCTCGTTTCTTAAGTACCTGAATGACGGAGCACAAATGGAAGATTAGAGATCGGGCTTCTACGATAGAATGCACACCCATGACGTCCTCTGACAGTACCTTCGCAAAGGCGCGTCCACGGATTCGTGGGATCCGTACGAATCCGCATGCCAGAGAACGCAGGTCATGGGTATGTTCTCATCTGGTTTGGGGATTATCTCAATGACGACCAAGCTCCAATGATACCTACAACAAGCGATGAGCGAGTATCTGTCAGAAATAGTCGTTGATCGAAATTATGACTGGAATTCAAGCGATTGACACCCACTCGCTGTTGATCGGGACGAGAATATAGTTGTAGTCGAATATCCCCAGCCCAAAAAGATGGGCGTTACCCCGCTTCGCAATGTCCCTTCCAGCGTAGTTTCAGAAGTAGGATCCACTGTACAGCCACATCTTGTTGTCGCGACCGTGCTCATATTGAAGCATCCTGTGGTTGTTGAAACATAACGCATTATAAGCGTCTTAGACCTACAAAGTAGTCCTACTTTGGCTTCTCACGAAATTAAACTCATAACTCACACTCCCAGCCAGTCGATGACGATTCCGGTCACCCATTCTCCGGGTTTAAGCTTATTAGCGTGTTCCTCACTGACGTCTAGCCACGCTCCGCCAAATGGGAAAGGCATTGAAATCGGGTGAAAGGGAAAATCACAAGCTGCATCTCGTGAAGCCATGGAATGGAATCACCTACGAGCTGGCGGTACTGGAGATTCAGATCGTCATGCAACGGAGTGTGTTCTGGCTGCTGGTGCTATCCCTGGAACTGTGTGAGCTCTCTGGTGTATGGGGGGTTGAAGAGGCATCGCCCAATGATGTGGTTCCGCAACACAGTTTCGACACCCACGTTTCGGTGCTGCCTTTGGGTCCGTCAGATTCCAAATGACGTGGACTGACATGAACGCGGATGGTTGCTAACGCTTGATTGCCTCCCTTCACTAGTGACTGATTCTGATTCTCGCTGGTCTGGAATGCCCAGTCAGCTGTGGTCCAAGAATTGTGCGCTCCAATGTTTCCGGAATTAGCTCGAGAAACACGTAGATCCAGCACGATGAGACTCTTTTCAACGGTCGGATTTTTGAGACGAAATGCAGTTTGGTCGAGTAGGGTTCATCACCCTGCCTGGGCTTGAGCAACACATGACGTAATCATACGTGATTGGTTGGAATTTTAGGGTTGTCAGAATCACTTCCGGGTTTGGTGTTTCGCCACCCACCACGTCAACCCTGCACACTCGACATCCAGTATGCTGTAGTGTCCAGATATTTTTAGGTGTCTAGGGAGTTGCGGAACACTATTAACCCCACGGTGACTGTCTTCGCACACCACACGGTTACCTTCGTGATCCGCTAAACATCAAATTTTCATACCGTGGAGCTGCTCATTCGCCTTTGCAATGCGGGGTGGAGTAGGTTCTCACGCTAAGTAACATATTTCTTGTGAACCCTTTTCATTTCCAGAGCCAGCCCGGGTATGTTTGTTGGGACAGATTCCCTCCATCCATGACATGCTGCTGGACGTAGATTTCAATGTTGACACCATCTCGACAGTAATACGTTGGTGCTATATCTCATGAAAGGCACAAGCTCCCTACGTAACTCACAACATCACGTTTGAAAAATGAAGGGTCAAAAGTGCGACTGTGGCGATGTCTTCTTCTGCTATCAGACCCTTCGAAGCCACCAATCCAATGGCGATAAGTGCAAGCTGACGCAGAAGAGAAAGTTGCGTTTAAAACAGTCGAGCCAGAAGCATAAAAAGCTTGGAGCCGCTTCGGATTCCGTCCCCGTTTTGCTGCCTGCACC